GTCTGTTCATACGTAAAGGGAACTCCAGAAAGTTGGAATATGGTTTCATGGTAGGATACCCTATAATTTACCATAAAGGGTTTAGGATAATAATTTTCCAACTTTCTGGCTTCTCCTGTAACCCGGCATGCCCCGACAGATCCTAAACCCCAAGGCATGGGGCAGTTTCGTATCGTCCTGAAGGCTTGGTGGATGTTTGTAGTATCACTCGCGCTGCTACCATCAATCCAATCGTTTCGCAACAAGGACATGAAGTCAGGACAGATACCACTGAAACGTCAAACAAGGAAGCATGCTATGAATGTGTGTGTGCCTGTTTGTGTGTATGTATGTACATAAGTTTATATATACATATACATATATATATATATATGTGTGTGCATAAAACCTTGTGTATATACCTATATACAGAGAGACATACAGTTTCGTATTCATTACTTCTCTTGTTGTTTGCTCTTCATCTACAGAGCTATTGAAGAAGATGGCCCACCCTCCCATGGACCCGCGGCCCGCGGCCCCGTCTGCCTTGGGCGCGGAGCCCACTTTTAAGTGCCTCAGAACGCCGGAGGCCGAGTCGGGGCTTTAGGGCTTTATGATGGCTCAATCTGGGTGCGAAGGTTGACGTAATCGGACTGGCCTTGAAATTATGAAGTTTTCATGTGGGAGTTTCCGAAACTTAGGGGTACCTTACTTTGGGATCCTTATAATAGATCCTGCTATTTAGGGTACTATATTATTTTCGGAAACTACCGTGTGTCCATGAGGTTCTTCAAAATGGTTATGGTCTTGTGGGACCCCGAAGCCCTAAGCATCGAAACCCCAAAACTGGGGCGTAGCAGGGCTTAAGGGGGTAGGGTTTACGTGTTGGGTATTTGGCGCTCCAGACTTTATGTAGAGTAGGTGGAGGATCAGGGTCGAGAGTGGGTTGGTTCCCTCTTCTTCAGGCACCTATTCTAGTTCATGTTCATTGTCGGCTGATTGTCGGGATAGGCTTAAATATGCTCAATTTTATTCCTTTTTGGGTTTGGGTACCCATAAAAATCTAGAATGTTACCCCACTATGACAGAGTCTTATGGGCGATTAACTTGCTACGGACCACGAAGTCGAATCAGCACTGAGCATCCGTCTGTGCACCCAATCAAGCCAAAACTCTCCATGGCAACATTAAGGGGATCTTGGAGTAAACAGGATCTAATAAAGAAAACCGGTCTGACACTCCAGCATACTGTAGGGGCCGTAATAATTAGAACAGGTTTGGGGGTTTAGGGTTTATACTGGGGGTTCCTAATTTTAACTATAGTGCAATTTACCCCAAACCCTAGTTTAAGTATTCAATCCACTGTGTTATGCACCCCGTTGTCAGACCATCGTCCTGATATCGCTACGGATGATTCTTCTCCTCCGGGTGCCCCTCTACGTCTGCCACTTGATTCCACAGATTTTCATCAGAGTCGACCTGTAGTATTGCCATTCCTGCTTCGGCCTCTCCGTAGTTATTGCTGCCACCAGTATCAGTCTTACGAGTCCCCTCCCGGCCCATGACAAGTACTCCCATTACCAAAAAACTCCAATGTATTAACACTACCTTTGAACATGACGTATCTTTCATTAGAAAAGACAAGAAAATTGAAATGTGTCTACTGGGCATCGAAGCTGCTATGCTAACTCTGCACTTCAGCGTCAATTTATTAAGGCCCCCATACGGGAGTTTCCGAAAATAGGGGACACTCATATAGTACCCTACATAGCAGGATCCTTCTTATAGGTCCCCAAAATAAGGTACCCCCAATTTTCGGAAACTCCCATATTACCCCAAACCCTCAACATCTCCGAAACCCAGGCAACTATGCCCTCCACACTGAAAGTCCCACCCCGCCCTGCGAAGTTAACTCCGCCACATCCTAAGCCGTAAACCTCAAGCCAGTTTCTAGCTCATAGTTGGGATCGGACTAAAAATGGACAATTTTGTTCCTTATTGGGTTTAAGTACCCATAAAAATGTAAAATGTCACCTGTTGCCCAACTATGACAAAGATTTCCTGGAACCCTTTCCCAGCCCCACAGCACAGACCCTGCACCACGAACCCAACAACCACCAACATCCCAGGACTACAAACCCTGAATGCTTGAAACCCAAAGATGCCAAAAGGGTTTAGGGTTCAGGGTTTAGGGTTCGGGGTAAAGGGTTTAGGGTTCAGGGTTGAGGGTTCAGGGTTTAGGGTTCAGGGTTTAGGGTTTCAATTCGAAAAATGCACCTACAAACGAAACCTTAACCCCGCCCCAATAAAAAGACAGCAACTCCGAATGCCAGAGGCCCAAGCCACTGAGTTGCGCCATGGCAGCCTGTTCTTTATGGCTTCTAGGAACAAGGGGCCTTGATAATTAGAATAGGTTTTTTTGTGGGTATACAAAACATAAATAGTCTATCTGGGGTTTTGGGGTAAGTTAGAACCAGGAAGGCTAAGGAGGAGCTAGCAATTCAGGCTTCCATTTGCAGGGGTGGGTGGTCAAGCGCCCGACTGACCGGTAGTGTTGTGCAATACTGCACGGTCCATAATCTCTATACCCTATCCTTCCTGCCTAGGATACCAGTAACCTAAGAATAAAAAGGCCTCTCTTTTTGGTATTGGGTAACTTTATAAGGAACCTAGGACTACAAAAAGGGAATAAGGGTACTACTGGGCATCCTAGCTACTGTATCTCCTTACCCACCAAAACCTGTCAAGCCATAGGAGTATGACTACGACAGAAACCACCTGGAATCCTGACAATGGCCTTGGAAGCCCATGCGCCTGACAAACTGTCGGAAACACCACCCAGCAACAATGTAACAAGCAGAACAGCACCAAGAACACTAACAACAAGAAGAAGCATGACAATAACACGAAGAACAACAGAAACAAGAACATGAACAATAGCAACAGCACCAACAACAGCAACAACAACAACAACAACAACAACAACAACAACAATTTATTAGACGCTGAGCGAGCGGGCTCTGCTCATTGCGGGCGTGTGAAACTGCCTTTGCACCTGAGCAAAGAGCTGAGAGCATAGTAAAGAGAGTCTGGGCCTGGAGACTTGAGGCTGGCAGTCAGCAGTAGACAAAACTTAAAGCTACAAGCTACCTCAGAGGCCGTCACTTGTCACTCAGTTGGGTGAGAAACCCTCCGTCACCCTCAGTGTGGACTATGGCGTCCCATGTCCACGAACCAATGATTGATGAGCCGTACCCAATGGGCCGTCACTCGGAGTGCCTGTTTCGTGGCGTCCCACTCATGGTCACTCACAATCAGAGGCGGTGGGCCGTAAGGTCGCAAAGTGATATTATGTCTGTGGCCAACTAATGGATGTGGTAGAAGCTGTCCACGCCTCGGCGGAGGCTCATGGAGAGAGACTGTTTCCAACCCGATCTAGCATGGTGTAACTGCCTCAATGTGGCAGTTGGGCGTGCCCACGCATAGTGAGCAACGAGCAGGCCCGTGATGCGAATATGCTGTTGACTGAGGCAGCTCTTCTTTTTTGGCTAAGAGCAGAGTGCATCGGCAGAGTCACGGCACCCCCGGGAGCTGAAGCTCCGTGCCATGAAAGGCCAATGAAAGATTAAATTTCGTGGACGTATCAGGCGTTGCCTGCATGCGAGCTGCGAGCGTTGCCCGACGTAACTAGCTGAAGCTACGTCGCGTGAGGGCTCAAGAGATCTGGCAGACCTAAGGGAGATGAAAACCGAGATCAACAAGAGTGGCTTTATGCGCACTCGACAACCGGCCAGGGTCAGAAATGCTGTATGCAGCCAGCGTGATACGATCTGTCAGACTCCAACCACGAGTACAGTGAACATGGTTGTGAGCTGGGAAAATGAGTGCCTGAAAGGCCAGGCTAAATGGGCGGCCACTCAGCAGACCATAGTCAGTTTCTTCGTAGTCGGTGCCTTGCCAGGATTCCACCCAGACTGAGCCTTCATCGTGGTGGGAGAGACTAAGCAGCAACGTGCCCGTCTTGGAGTTGGACTGATCTCGATGAGGTGGAGTACGGACGTTGAGGTTCAAGGAGAAGGTAGTCCATTTATGCTCCGGGCAGATGTGCTCAATCAGTCTGTTAAGCAGTCGACAGAAGGATCCATACCGAACCGTGTCTGCACAAAGTCCAATAGGTCCTCGTGCAAAAGCGCCGAAGGTGACATTGTTGGCGCTGCCATCAGAGAAGCGTTGGCGACCTGGGCGCCACGTCAAGGCTCGAACTGCTGTGCGCACAGCATTCCAGAGCGGTGACTGAGCGTCTTGTAGCAAATGCCACGACAGAATTTCAGCGCTTGGGATCCGCGCATCCAACTCACCGTACGGAAAGGGCATATGAGTGTCAAGGCTGCGAGGGAGACAGGGTTGCAGGCGTGCAAGGTAGTAGGACAACTCCTGCATCCGTTCATGCCCAAAGGTCTGAATGGCCAGGTGCAGCAGATCGTTGTAGGATAGCATACCCGCTTCGGCCGGAAGCGACAAGCGTGGCGGTGGAGCGGCCAGGGCATGCATGGCCTGTAACAAGAGGTACTCCTCCAGGGCCACGGCGTACAGGTCCGGCGGGAAGTCTCGCGTTTGGAACATGATGTTGGGAGCTTCCTGGCTATGTTTGCTGCTGGAGCCACATGCCCTAGAAAGAGTGAGAGAGAGTGGTCCCTGGCTCGTGCGGCAAGAGCAGAATGACTGAAAGAAAGTGTGTATTCCGCTCAAGGAGACTAGCATCGCTAGCGGAGGCTGTGCTGCTTGACGCGTCTCTGAGCGCTTCGTCAAAGGACGCCCGGTTTGTAAGCAGGACGTTGCCTGACATCAGTGCAGGCGTTGCCTGTTTTGCATAGGTGCTGAGCAGAAAGGAAGAGAGAGATTTCAGTTGCCTATTACCAACAACGCGCAATGATGTCAGCAGGCGGTGCCTGGCATCAACTGGGGCGTTGCCCGGCAGCCGCAAAAGGTGAGACTGGCTAAGTAGCCCTGGCATGCAATGGCTCAGCGGTAGTAGCCGTGGTAGGCAGAGTTCCTGGCATTGTAGGAATTTTCTTCCCAGTCCTGCCAGTCTTGCCAGTCTTGGGAGCCGGCGGATCTGGAGTGTTGTTCGGGCGGAGGCTCGTGAGATCCATACGGGTCCGACCTCCTGGACTCCTTGTTCTCACGGTGCTCAGCTTGTTTTTCGCGGCGACCACGAAGCTGCTGGCCAGTAACATTGCGAATCACGTTCAGCTTGCTATCCAGGACTTGGCCGTGCGTAATCTTGATGGTTGGATGGCTGTCACGCGTGGCCTGGATGATATTGACGTGGGAGGGTTGGTGCGCCTTCTTGGTGGCTGCCTCATAGATGGTCTGCAGGGTCGTCGCGAAGAGGCGAAACTCATCCTGAGTAGCCACACGCTCGCCCTCGAAGAGAGCGTAGGGAACCCCATTTTTAATGGTAGCCTGAAGGCCCCCGAGCCAGGTCGTGAGCTTGGGGTGGATGTGCTCTTGACCAGCACGGTCCTTCGTGGCCATCGTTAAGTGGCCAGAGGAGTGGACAACAAGTCGACCCGAGATCACAGAGCGCCAGCTGAGGTCTTTTCGATCAGCTTCAGGTTTTTGGTAAACCCTGCTAAGGCCGGCAAGCACGGTTGGCAGCTTGGTCAAGACCTGAAGTCGGGCATTCCATATCGCTGTGAACTCCTGGGGCTGAAGAACACCCACTACTTCAGGAGCCGTCAGTGACTGGAGGTCCGCTACTGCCACCACCCAGTCGTAGAAGTCCTTCTCGGCACAGAGTTCCTCCATTGTGGGAGGAGTGTTTTCTGGCTCTTGAGGAGGAGCTTCATGACGATGCGGTGCATCAAGGATGGCTGGTCGCGGTGCGACGTATGGCGGCGGGGAGGCAGGCTCGTTGGGCTGTTGATTGCCGGTATCTGAGGAGGAGGCCGCCGCAGCGGCCTGACCTGAGCGCCCAGTGGTAGCCCTGGCATAGGCCTCTTCCCCCGCGTGATGCCATGTAGCACCGCTGCCACGTGTCCGCAGAAAGTGCGGCAGTAGGCCCTGAGAGGTGTGGAACATGCAGGGCCCGCCAGATTTGCCCGCACAGAAGACACAGCACAAAGTGTCACCATGCTCTGAAATTGCTATGCCAAGACCGCGAGGATGAGCTCCTGGACTTGCTGCTTGGTGAGTTCTCCATAGAACTGCGGCCACTTTTCGATAAGCTGCACAATCCGATCAAGAAGGCTGGTGTCGAGAGCTTCAAGCACATGTGCCTGAATGGTGGCTTCAGTGGGGACCGGAGTCGTGGAGGCGTTGCCTCGCCGGGTCGTGGCGTTGCCAGCCTCCTGCGCTGCGTGGAGTGCAGTAGGGAGTCCACGAAGGATGGCATCGTTGTTGGCTTTGGTGGAAGCCGGATCAGACTTCCATCCCTTGTTCCAACCCCAGCACCGAGTAAGAGCGATGAGTTGCTTGGAGGCTGTGCGGAACCCATGCCCCTCATTGGGGGGCACGCCCTGCATTCGCCGCAACTGATCCTCATGAACCTCCTGCAGCAGATAGATCGGGCCTAGGGTCTGTGTGAGGTGCCAGCCAGGGGCCAAGCTGCGTCCCTGCGCCGTTGGGTGGAGGACCGGGTCGCTGAGCAGGTCCTGGCGTACGATCTCATAGAGGGCGATGCAGAAGAACATATACTTCTCGTTGATGGCCCCCTGCGCATCCACATATTTGTGCTGAAAAGCATGACGTAGTGCAGCAGTCATGAGGGGGTGCTGCCGTCGTCCCATGAGGATGCCCTGGAAAATGTGGTCCTTTTTCTGACCGATGGCCGTGAGGAAGTAATCAGGAGGGCCGCTGGCTCGCAAGGTATCAGCATCCCATCCATAAATTTGGGAGGCAAGGTCGGAGAGGAGTGGCTTGGCTCGCCACTCTGCCACGATGGAGGAGTGAAGCTCCTGCGGCGTGATCAGGAAGGCAGTCTTGATGTCGAGGTAGATGCCGCCGCGGAGCCAGTGTTCAACGTATCTGAAGACATCCGCGCGATGCGCGTTGCTTCGGAGCTTGGAGAGAAGGCGTTGCCCTGCTCCTCCAGTGACTGAACGGATCACTTCCGCCCAGGCTTCGTCGTTGAAGAACTCGCGACGAAAGGTCCGGAACTTGTCCGCCGCCATTTCCTTAGGGCCAACCATTTCGTCATGAATGAAAGTCTGGACCAGGCGCTGCGGGATTGGGAACCTCCCATAGGGAGTACAGTCAGCCGGTACCGTAAGGCGGTACGTCTTTTCAATGGGGAAGTTGGCTTGGCTGGCCGCCACAATCAGCAACTCTCTAAGAGTGGTGGCTCGGGTGAGCGCGTGGGTGGCCAACATCTCCTGATGTATCATGCCCTGAGTCGCGTTCCAGGAGCAGCACAGAAGAACTGGCAGAAAGGGTGGAGGAGTGCGCGGCGCCTGCTGCGCATGCCCTGGCCCCAGGCCACCCGCGAAAGGTGAGGTAGATGGGGTTTGGGGGGCGTTGCCCTGCGGAGTCTCGGGGGCGTTGCCTCCTTCAGCTCGCTGTGGTTTCGGTACTGTCATACAGTAGAGAGCGCGGCCAATGATACGCCCAATGGCAGGCAGCTCAGCAGACGGCTGAAAGTGAGTGGGATCCTGGCCATACAAGTCCAGATCCGGAGGCTGGTTCAGGTCCATGATCTGCCAGGGGAACTCGTAGTCCTTGAGGTTGAAGTCGTGCCGTGCCCTTTCCACAAAGTCATAAGCAGTCTGCTTGGGATGTGGCACACTGCGTCCGCAGGGAACCAGGCCTACTTTGACAGGCTCATCGAGCTTGTCTCGCAGGAAATGCAAGAAGCCCTCATTGACCAGGATCGGAGCTGGCAGGGAGTCGCGAGACTGGAGGGAATCCCCCGCAGCCAAAGCAAGGGCTCCTAAGATGGAGGGACGCCCAGGATAGGAGCGAACGAGGGAAGCCCCTGGACACACGTATGAGGCCCATTGCTTGCCCTGTCGCAAAAGGCCCTGGAAGGTGGAATCAGCAAGGGCAAGAAAGGGCGGCGCCTCATTGAGTACCTCCCGACCTGCATCATCCCAGACTGATGGAAAGGGGCGCGTCCACGCCATGAGGAGGCACAGCCCTCTCAGAGGGTGGACCCCAAGGCGAAAAAGGAGTCGGCTATTTGAGCCTAGGGCAGAAGCAGAGATGCCGTGGCTACCTAGACTGGTAAAGCAGTCGGAAGCACACTGCAAAGGCGCCTTGTTTTGTACAGACTGCACGAAAGGCTGCGGCGTGAAGTTAGCGTGAAGGAAGAGAGAGGCCTTGCTAGGCTTGCTCACCGGATACACCATCGAGCCCAGCTGGGCTATAGGACTAGCTGAAGAAGAGGCTAAGCTGCTGTGCTGAAATTGTCCAGTGTGAGCAGGGACCTAGCAAGCGTTGCTTGCAGTGTGCAGGCGTTGCCTGAAATGAGAAGGATGATTGAATCACCACAGTGATAGAACACCTCTAAAAGAGAGGGTTGGCCTGGCGCTCAGTGGGGGTCGGTTCCGGCTCCTGGTACTCCAAGTAGAGCGACAGAGCCTGCAAGAAGATCATCGTATCCTGAATGGAGTTGGAGAGAGCCGAGCGAGAGAGGCCATCTGCTCCAGGAACCGTGGTGCCAGCGTGTTGCTCCAGAGCGTGGACGAGCGGGAAGACCTGAAGAGGTGAGAAGAAGTGAACATCCGGGGCTCCCGAGGCTGCGGGGGCAGCGGTGGTCTCCTCCGCATCAGGCGCTTCCATAGGTGGCTCAGCCCAAACGCCCGTTAGCATAGGGGAGGGAGGCGTCGTTGAAGGCGGAGGCGGGTCCGATGTAATGCGCCCCGGCGCAAGTGGCGCTTGGGCAGTGCCCCCTGATGAGGGAGCGTTGCTCTGGGACTGCACCGAGGATGGGTCCATCCGAGGTGGACCTGGCGGTGGCTCTAGCTCCAGCATGCCATCCCTGTTGCGGTATGAAAGCCAAGGATAGACTTGCTGAGCCACTGACCGGGTGCCACGTCCCTCAGTCTTTAGCTCACAGACCAGGAAGATCTTGGGAAGATAGCCCGACTGTTCCCACGAGCCAGTGTTGATCTGTGCTGTGAGAGAGGCGCCAGGCTCATAGGAGGGCTGGTCCGGCTCGTCCACAAAATGCCCATTGGAGTTGCCCTTGCGCTCCACAGGCGAGCGAAAGGTAGTAGTGCAGGTGCGTGACTTGCCATCGGTAGTCCACAGGTGAGCCGTCAGCATGATGGTAGGATTGACAGCCGTGTCTCGCCACGAGCCAGGCGGGAAGAGGCTATGAGGATTGGGCTTGACCTTCCACGTAGTGGTGTCAAGCATCATGTCCAATTCCTGCTCGGCCTCGCGAGGGAGTTGTGGGCGAAGCTGATCGCGTTTCCTGCGTCTGGAGGCGTTGCCTTCCTCAGCGGGTGGGCGTTGCCCCGCCTCGCTTTCCATCTGGCCGAGAATTTCTTCACGGATAGTACAGGCCAGGCGGTGGAAGTCGCTCCGGCCGCATAAGTAAGGGGCCCGCACCGAGGGGGTCGACCATTCGTTCATGCATTCAGCTGGAGGGCGGTGTTGGGTGCCTCCACGGCCTGCTACTGTGTAACCATAACGGACCGGCCAAATGGTCTCCTTGCTGCCGCCGTAATCAATGAGGACGAAGCTGGCAGGATCCGTGCGGAGCATGATGTTGGCTAGCCTAACATCAGCATGTATGATGTCATGGTCATGGAGCAGGGAGATCGCCCTGCGCATGTCTTGCATGAGGCGAAAGACATGACGAGTGGTCAGTGCAGAGACCGGGACAGGGTAGTGACGAGGCATGAGCACTCGGAGGTGCTGTGGATCCCAGGCCAAAATGGTCTGGAGAACCACCACCTCAGGCATGCGAGCCGCCCTGATAATTTCTCGATTAACCTCCGCGCCGAAGCCTGCTTTGGCAGTCCGAATCACATGGTGCTCTCGATCTTCCAAAAGGGGCGGGAAGGTGGCGGGGCCACGCGTCACATCGATGCGTTGCACCTCAGAGAAGGGAGAGTAGCAGGGCTGGGCTGGAAGATACACCTGGCAGGTGTAGCCCGAGCTGATTTGCTGACCCAGCTCGGAGGTGATCAGGGACATGACCTGAATGGAGGGGTTGACGTAATGCCCCGGGAGAACAAGAGGTGAGGAACCATGTTCCTGCAGGCTCTCCAGAGCCTTACCAGCCTCAGCCGAGAGCGAGGTCGAGGACTGCGACATGTCCGCGCAGGGAACAGCGTCTGCAAAAGATGGTTAGAGAATCGCTGACTCGGGCCAAAAACTTTGCTGATCGATGCAAGTCGATTGCTGCCAGGCACCTGGGATCCTAGCTGAAGCAGCTAGAGACGCTTATTTAAGGCGCTGGCAAAGGGTCTTCATTTGACCCGCTCTTCAGCCGAGTACTTCATGCACTAGTTTCGCGGTGCGAAGTTCGCCGATTAAGTCGTTGGCGATGCCACACGACTCAGGACGCCTTGGGCAGTTTGGGTTTCCACATCATCTGCCTCTTGGATGCAGGAGGCGTAGGGGGCTTGGGAGGCGGCGATGTTGTAGTAGAAGAGGAGGATGTTTCAGTCGCCCATTGGCGCTTGCCGATGGCCAGGTTCTGCTTGGTAGACGTAGATGACATTGAGGATGTGCCGCCAGACGTCGCTTTGTCAACCTTGTTCTCTGACGGAGAATGAGTCGGACCATCGAGTTCCTGACGGGCCGCCCACAGGAGATGCTCGTAGAGCTGTTCCTGGGAGATGCCATGCTGAGGCTGCGAATCTAAAGCCGGGAACCTGGAGGCGTTGCCTCGCCTTTGGGGCGTTGCCTCGATGCCTCAAGTTCAGCTGGTCGTTGGGAGTCCACGGGCTTTTCGAGCCAGAGTGCCCTGGGGGCGTTTGCCCAGTGCCTCGCCTTCAAAGTCCTCAATGAGTTTGCTGTACGTAGAGATGTGAGCGAGCAACGTGCTGTGCATCTTCAGGCGGATCTCCAAGATGAGGTGGGTCTTTTTCGCATTGGCCCGAGCCGAAAACAAAGCAAGCTCGTGATTGATCGCGTTGTTCTTGTCCGGATCATCGAGGATGAGACCCAGAGCAGCCTTGAAGGCTTCCCAGGCTGGTTGTGTGACAGACTCAGGCTTCGTTGAGTCCTTCAGGAATGGAAGCACTGCAGCAGCAACCGCAGCTGTGGGAGAGCCAGAGGGGTGTGGTTGGCCTGGCTTGTGATCCTTCAACCATCCCTGAATGGCGTCGAGAGCCGTCGTGGCCAGCGGTCCCTCCACCGGGAGCTTATGAACAACGGAGAGCTGATGGAGAATGCTCTGAATTTCGTCGTCGTGTGCCAAAAAGGCGCGGGTGAGCTCTTGCACCGAGAGAGCGCGGATCGTGCCTCGCCCGCCTTGAGGTGGTGCCGCGGCGGCCTTCGCCGCAGCCTCGAGGTCACGACGTGCTCGTTTTTCCGGCTTGGCCGGTGGCGAAGAGTTGCCGGCCATGAACGAGGAGCTACGTCAGCTGTACAACTTGAGCAGCAAAACTAAACAACAGCGTTCCTGCTCCCTACCGTGTAGGCAGGTCGGTCCCACAGAGCCAGTAGGTCGCCCCCTTCCTGCAAGGGGGAAGTAGGGGCCCCTGGCCGCAGGGGAACCCTCAGCTTACTCCTCTATAACTGGGACTGGCATAGGGCCAGCCTCCGCTGTGTGCGGTGATGAACCAAGTCGCACTAACAGCATATAACAGCCTTGTCGTGCCTGCCTAAGATCAGAATCTGAGGCCGGAGCAGTCGGACGACCGTCGTCCGTACTGGACCATGGTTGATCGGGTTGGCTCCTCCAGAGGGAGCGATAGTGCCCAGAGGACGCCCGCTTGATTTTTTTCAATCGGCCGCTTGATTTTGGAGGCACACGAAACTTCTATTGAATTTGAGGAAATTTCAATCGTTTGGAACTTTTGTTGGTACGTGTTTCTATTGATTTTGAGTGTTGACTTCTATTGATTTTAATCGTGGTCTTTCTATTGATTTTATGGAAAATTTCTATTGATTTTATGGAAAATTTCTATTGATTTTATGGAAAATTTCTATTGATTTTATGGAGATTTTCTATTGATTTTGAGGTGGATGTTTCTATGGATTTCAGCTTGCTGAAACGACGGCCCGGGCGGCCCCAGTTTGCTAACCAAATAGAGAGAGAGAGAGAGAGAGAGAGAGAGAGAGAGAGAGAGAGAGAGAGAGAGAGAGAGAGAGAGAGAGAGAGAGAGAGAGAGAGAGAGAGAGAGAGAGAGAGAGAGAGAGAGAGAGAGAGAGAGAGAGAGAGAGAGACAGAGATACAGAAAGACGGAGGAGACAGACAGAAGAGATGGGATGTGGGCCGGACGGCCCCACGAAGGGAGAAGGCGGGGGAATCATTTTTGGCAGGTTCGTGCATGGCAGCCGTCTTGCAACCAAAGCTTCCAGGGGCCGGACGGCCCTAAGAAGGAAGAAGGGGGGGAATCATGCTTCAAATCTCGTGCATGGCAGCCGTCTTCAAGCCAAGCTGCCAGGAACTTTGGGCTAGGTCAAGATGCAGGGCGATGATGAAATTGTCGTCCAGGCCTATGCCAAGCTGCTTCACGCCAAGGTTCCAGGCAAAGTCGCGAGGTCCTTGGTCGTGATGTGGCGGAGAGGTTACCTAGACCAGCTGGAGATTCTTGGCATGAACACATATACATATACATATATATCTACATATATATACTTATACATATGCCGTATATAGACTATGTATTTAATTTTTTACTTATATAGAGCTAAGGGATGTCGACAAGGAAGTGGGCTTCCTGAACTTTTTGGAGTACCTCATGTACAAGATCGAGAATGATATGGACATCGACCCCGAGCGCTGGCCGGAGGCGACGAAGCACATGAAGATAAAGGAGCACGGGTACATCCGCTTGTTGCTCAACGATGCTTCATTGATCGCTCTCCAAGCAAACCCAGGCATGTGAGCCGCCCGTGCGCCAGGTCCCAGGATCTGACCAGTGCCAGGCGGCTGGGAGGTGAGCTCCAGGACAAGCCTCAAGTTTTGAGAACATAGGAAAGTGTGGAGGCGGCAGAGATTCTGCCGCTTCGAATCCGCGCCGTCCCAGGTTCAAAAATTCAAGGGGGCGTTTTTGTTAGAAGCGGCTTAATTCAAGTGCTAATCCAGGGCAGGCTACTGCCAGGGTATAATTCAAGCCGAGATCGATCAAGCCCTGCTTGACGTGCAAAATTGACTTGGCGAGGAGAGGACCTGAGCTGAAGTTTTTTTTCATAGTACGCTGCATGCTTCAAGCTTCAGGCCCTGGCTTCAAAGCCAGGCAGGCCTAGCCAGGTCCTGGGCTTCAAGCTCCAGGCAGGTCTGTCGGGTTTAAGTGCTGCAGGCCGCCAGGCAAGTCCTCAGGTTCTTAGAGCCATGGGCAGCCCCGCAGCTGCTGGCCGCGGCGGCGAACGCAACTTCGCCAAGCCGGAGGTGGACCAGGAGCACTTGCTGGACGTGTTCAAGAAACACGTCAAGCTCCTAGGTGTCCAGGCCGCCTTCAACTTCGACCCCTACGGCAACCTAACCAAGACGAGTGCTGTCCAGGCCAAAGGGCTTTCAAAGGCGACGGTTTTGCTCAAGAAACTCCAGGAGGTGGAGAGCGGCTTGGCTTTCAAGTACAAGGACTTGAAGGAGTGCTTGGCCAAGGTCAGCAAAGACTACCCGGACCTCATCCACCAGGCCCCGCTGAGCAAGCAAACTGCTTGGGCTGGGGACACGGCCGAGATGCTGCTGACCGTCATGGCTCATGCTCGCCGCTTGTGCAACGACACCAGGTTCAAGGAGGCTTGCAGCAAGGCGACCCAGTTCGAGATCAAGGATCTCGAGGAACTCAGGGCGCTGCTTCTTCCAGAAGTGTCGGCCTCACCAGCCAAGCTCCAGCAGGCGGAGACCCACAACACCAAGCGGCCGAGCACAGGGACGCCAAGCCCTGCGACCAAGCCGCCAAAGCTACCTGCGAGCAGTCCGCTTCGAAAGATTCGGACCAGGGATCTGGAGCTTCCAGACACTCCCAAGACCGCCAAGACGAGTTTGAGCCAGGAAGCCGAAGGCAGTCCCGTGCCAGGCAGCAAGGCTCGAATCAGGAAGTCTTGGGAGGGCGAGGTTTTGAAGAAGCCAGCTGCAGCCGCTAAGCCTGTGAAAAAGGACAGTGACAAGCCGAAGAAGAAGCCGGCCTCTAATCTTAACATTAGAAAAAAATTTTTGTTGTTCGTAAGCATATATTTCTATCTAGGAAGATGTATTTAAGTGAACCCCTGAATGTTTTCTCCATCATCAGGCCCCGAAGGACAAGGACAAGCCCGAGTTGACGGAGGCTGAAAGGGGCAAGCTGCAGATCATGCACTACCACGACAGTGTCGCATTGAGAGTCGACGGTTCTAGGCAGCTTTTCCAGATCGTGTGCAGGAAGCATGGTCGGGATAAGACCAAGCTTCAGGTTGCCAAGATGAAGAAGAAGCTCGCCGAGGGCGGCTCTTTGGCAGAGGCCTTCAAGGAGAAGGCTAAGTTTTTGGAGTCCTAGTTTCAAGTCTTTTAGTGTTCCAAGCCAGGGCTGGAAGCCCGGTGGCCTCGACTGCATAAGCCAGTATGCATGAGTGAAAAACACATCGACCCTCCAGCTGCATGAGCCTGCAAGTAAAGTTTCAAGGGCTGGACAGCCCTTTTCGGCGGCAAATGCTCCCAAGCGAGATCGATCTTCGGCCGCTGCAGCTCCCAAGCTCAAGAAGCAGCTTTAGGAGTTACTTAGTCAGGCAGCCAAGGAGCTGCCAAGTCAAGCCGGTCCAAGCCATGGCCGGCCAGCAGCCTCGAGGGCGGCCAGGAGGACCCATCCCCCAGATGGGAAAGGGCCCCCAGCGAAACAGTCAGCCAGGCGGCACCGGACACTTGCACGCACGTAACAAAGTTTTGCGTTTGTTTTAAGGATTTAACGAAACCGTTGATGTCTATGTTTGAAAGCACTCAGACTCAAGCGCCTGGCGAGAGAACTGGAGGGTGCTTTACAACCAGTACAAGGACGAGGCCGGCCTTGGAGTAACAAGCAAAAGTTTATACATATATATATATATATATCTAACAATATAAATAAAAAATATGTACATATATATATATATATATATTTGATTTTTATATGTTTGTGTCCCTTGTTGCGGTCCCTATCTAAGAGCCCCCATCCCCTAAAACT